ATTAGGAGCACACTCTTAAAGGGAGTGCTCCTAATCTCAGTTTGTTACCTGTATAAAAGACACCTGTCCACATAAGCAATCAATCAATCAGATTCCAAACTCTCCACCATGGCCAAGACCAAAGAGCTCTCCAAGGATGCCAGGGACAAGATTGTAGACCTACACAAGGCTGGAATGGGCTACAAGACCATCGCCAAGCAGCTTGGTGAGAAGGTGACAACAGTTGGTGCGATTATTAAAGACCTGTCAATCTCCCTCGGCCTGGGGCTCCATGCAAGATCTCACCTCGTGGAGTTACAATGATCTTGAGAACGGTGAGGAATCAGCCCAGAACTACACGGGAGGATCTTGTCAATGATCTCAAGGCAGCTGGGACCATAGTCACCAAGAAAACAATTGGTAACACACTACGCCGTGAAGGACTGAAATCCTGCAGCGCCCGCAAGGTCCCCCTGCTCAAGAAAGCACATATACAGGCCCGTCTGAAGTTTGCCAATGAACATCTGAATGATTCAGAGGAGAACTGGGTGAAAGTGTTGTGGTCAGATGAGACCATAATGGAGCTTTTTGGCATCAGCCAGGGCATTGAAAATGTGTTGTGGATGGGTATTCCAGCATGACAATGACCCAAAACACACGGCCAAGGCAAGAAAGGAGTGGCTCAAGAAGAAGGACATTAAGGTCCTGGAGTGGCCTAGCCAGTCTCCAGACCTTAATCCCATAGTAAATCTGTGGAGGGAGCTGAAGGTTCGAGTTGCCAAACGTCAGCCTCGAAACCTTAATGACTTGGAGAAGATCTGCAAAGAGGAGTGTGACAAAATCCCTCCTGAGATGTGTGCAAACCTGATGGCCAACTACAAGAAACGTCTGACCTCTGTAATTGCCAACAAAGGTTTTGGCAAAACCTTCTGTTTTGCAGAGGGGTCAAATACTTATTTCCCTCATTAAAATGCAAATCAATTTATAACATTTTTGACATGCGTTTTTCTGGATTTTTTTGTTGTTATTCTGTCTCTCACTGTTGAAATAAACCTACCATTAAAATGATAGACTGATAATTTCTTTGTCAGTGGGTAAACGTACTGTCACACTCTGGCTCCGGGACTTGTAGTTGAGCCAGGGTGTATTCGTTTTGTTGGGGTTTGTTTTGGTTAGGTTGGGAATAGGGTGTGTTCATTTGGGTGTGTGTGGTTTTGGTTAGTTCTTGTGTAGTCATGTGACTCCCAATCGGAGGTAACGAGTGTCAGCTGTCGGCTCGTTATCTCTGATTGGGAGCCATATTTATCTGTATGTTTTCCTTTGGGTGTTGTGGGTTTTTGTTCCGTTTCGGTCAGTGTACCGTGGACTTCATGAGTCGTCTTTTGTTTATAGTTCGAAACTTTATTTATTAAAGTCATGTTTCTTGCACACGCTGCGCCTTGGTCTCCTTCGCTCTTAGACGACCGTGACACGTACAAAATCAGCAGGGGATGAAATACTTTTTTCCCTCACGGTACCTGTATTCCGTTTATTTGTATCCTAAAAAAAACTCCTTAGTCCTTGCCGATGACAAGCATACCCATTACATGAGGCAGCCACCACTATGCTTGAAAATAGGAAGAGTGGTACTCAGTGATGTGTTGTGTTGTATTTGACCCAAACATAACGCTTTATATTCAGGACAAAAAGTTAATTTCTTAGCCTTTTGTTTGTTGCAGTATTACTTACAGAGTGTGACAGTACGTTTACCCACTGACAAAGAAATTATCAGTCTAATTTTAATGGTAGGTTTATTTGAACAGTGAGAGACAGAATAACAACAAAAAAATCCAGAAAAACGCATGTCAAAAATGTTATAAATTTATTTGCATTTTAATGAGGGAAATAAGTATTTGACCCCTCTGCAAAACATGACTTAGTACTTGGTGGCAAAACCCTTGTTGGCAATCACAGAGGTCAGACGTTTCTTGTAGTTGGCCCCCAGGTTTGCACACATCTCAGGAGGGATTTTGTCCCACTCCTCTTTGCAGATCTTCTCCAAGTCATTAAGGTTTCGAGGTTGACGTTTGGCAACTCGAACCTTCAGCTTCCTCCACAGATTTTCTATGGGATTCAGGTCTGGAGACTGGCTAGGCCACTCCAGGACCTTAATGTGCTTCTTCTTGAGCCACTCCTTTGTTGCCTTGGCCGTGTGTTTTGGGTTATTGTCATGCTGGAATAGCCATCCACGACCAATTTTCAATGCCCTGGCTGAGGGAAGGAGGTTCTCACCCAAGATTTGACGGTATATGGCCCCGTCCATCGTCCCTTTGATGCAGTGAAGTTGTCCTGTCCCCTTAGCAGAAAAACACCCCCATAGCATAATGTTTCCACCTCCATGTTAGACGGTGGGGATGGTGTTCTTGGGGTCATAGGCAGCATTCCTCTTCCTCCAAACACGGCGAGTTGAGTTGATGCCAAAGAGCTCGATTTTGGTCTCATCTGACCACAACACTTTCACCCAGTTCTCCTCTGAATCATTCAGATGTTCATTGGCAAACTTCTTAGGGGCCTGTATATGTGCTTTCTTGAGCAGGGGGACCTTGCGGGCGCTGCAGGATTTCAGTCCTTGACGGCGTAGTGTGTTACCAATTGTTTTCTTGGTGGCTATGGTCCAAGCTGCCTTGAGATCATTGACAAGATCCTCCTGTGTAGTTCTGGGCTGATTCCTCACCGTTCTCATGATCATTGCAACTCCATGAGGTGAGATCTTGCATGGAGCCCCAGGCCGAGGGAGATTGACAGTGCTTTTGTGTTTCTTCCATTTGCGAATAATCGCACCAACTGTTGTCACCTTCTCACCAAGCTGCTTGGCGATGGTCTTGTAGCCCATTCCAGCCTTGTGTAGGTCTACAATGTTATCCCTGACATCCTTGGAGAGCTCTTTGGTCTTGGCCATAGTGGAGAGTTTGGAATCTGATTGATTGATTGCTTCTGTGGACAGGTGTCTTTTAGAATGTGCTCCTAATCTCAGCTCGTTACCTGTATAAAAGATACCTGGGAGCCAGAAATCTTTCTGATTGATAGGGGGTCAAATACTTATTTCCCTCATTAAAATGAAAATCAATTTCTAACATTTTTTGACATGCGTTTTTCTGGATTTATTTGTTGTTATTCTGTCTCTCACTGTTTAAATAAACCTACCATTAAAATTATAGACTGATCATTTCTTTGTCAGTGGACAAACGTACAAAATCAGCAGGGGATCAAATACTTTTTTCCCTCACTGTAAGTGCCTTGTTGCAAACAGGATGCATGTTTTGGAATATTTTTATTCTGTACAGTCTTCCTTCTTTTCACTCTGTCATTTAGGTTAGTATTGTGGAGTAACTACAATGTTGTTGATCCATCCTCAGTTGTCTCCTATCACAGCCATTAAACTCTGTAACTGTTTTAAAGTCACCATTGGCCTCATGGTGTAATCCCTGAGCGGTTTCCTTCCTCTCCAGCTACTGAGTTAGGAAGGATGCCTGTATCTTTGTAGTGACTGGGTATATTTTGACCCCATCCAAAGTGTAATAAATAACTTCACCATGCTCAAAGGGATATTCAGCGTCTGCTTTTTTTTTATACACATCTACCAATCGGTACCCTTCTTTGCGAGGCATTGGAAAACCTCCCTGTTCTTTGTGGTTGAATCTGTGCTTGAAATTCACTGCTCGATTGAGGAACCTTACAGATAATTGTATGTGTGGGGTACAGAGATGGGGTAGTTCTGAAAAAATCGTGTTAACCACTATTATTGAACACGGATTGAGTCCAAGCAACTTATCATGTGATTTGTTAAGCACATTTTTACTTCTGAATTTATTTAGGCTTATCATGAAAAAGGGATTGAATACTTATTGATTCAAGACATTTCAGCTTTCAATTTTTTATTAATTAAGAAAATGTTCTACAAACAAAATTCCACTTTCACATCATTTAGCAGACGCTCTTATCCAGAGCAATTAGGGTTAAGTGCCTTGCTCAAGGGCACATTGACAGAATTTTCACCTAGTTGGCTCTGGGATTAGAACCAGCGACCTTTCGGTTACTGGCACAATGCTCTTAACCACTAAGCTACCTGCCGCCTCATTTAGCAAACGCTCTTATCCAGAGTGACTTACAGTTGGTGAGTGCATACATCTTTTCATACTGGCCCCCAGTGGGAAATGAACCCACAACCCGGGGCCCCATTATGGGTTACACAAAATCTCAATATAATATAAATTCAGACTGTAACAACAGAACAAAATGTGAGAAAAGTAAAGGGGTGTGAAAACTTTCTGAATCCACTGTATATACATCAGGACAGGTACATAGTGAACTCGTACACATTGTAAATACGTAAATAGAATGCACTATTTCAGAACGTGACCTACCGCTTCCATGTCAATATCAGACTGGGATGAATTGACATTCGCAATCTCCCCCTATCTGCAAGCATGACCAATGGCAAAAGCGTTCCACAGGGATGCTGGCCCATGTAGACTCCAATGCTTCCCACAGTTGTGTCAAGTTGGCTGGATGTCCTGTGGGTGGTGGACCATTCTTGATATACACAGGAAACTGTTGTGCTTGAAAAACCCAGCAGCGTTGTAGTTCTTGGCACACTCAAACCAGTGCGCCTGGCACATACTACCGTTCAAAGGCACTTAAATATGTTGTCTTGCCCATTCACTCTCTGAATGGAACACATACACAGTCCATGTCTCAATTGTCTCAAGGCTTAAAAATCCTTCTTTAACCTGTCTCCTCCCCTTCATCTACATTGATTGAAGTGGATTAACAGGTGACATCAATAAGGGATCATAGCTTTCACCTGGATTCACCTGACCAGTCTATGTCATGGAAAGAGCAGGTGTTCCTAATATTTTGTACACTCAGTGTATTTCTGCAGTAGCAAGTGGAAACATAACCAACCATTTTACATAGGAAATGCATTAGCTTCCAGAGAATAAAGCAGTCTCACACTAATATCTTTGCCTTGTCATTCACAGATCCAGGGGGCTATCCTGGTGTCTTCCCTGCTCCAACTAGTCCTGGGCTTGTCAGGTCTAGTGGGCCTAGTGCTGAAGTTTATCGGGCCCCTGGCCATCGCTCCCACCATCAACCTCATTGGCATCTCACTCTTCATAGAAGCCGGGAAGAAATCTGGGGCCCACTGGGGAATAGCTGCCCTGTGAGTAAAAGTCATTTTGCTATATTCCTGCCAAAACTGACGTTCACTGTTGTTGTTTATTCAATGGAGGAGTGCAGAGGTTTTGAACAGGCTTCACTTGGCACCACTGCACTCAAAGTTCAGATAATTTGACACTTGTTCTGTGACCAATGCAACCTTGAGGCGTGCAAACCATTAATAATAAGTGGGGCCTGATAATGACCAAGCCTTCTTGTAGGTCTATAGAAGCTCTGTTTTTGTAGCCTTTTCAATGTAAAACTGAATATGTGACCGACCGTCTCGATTCGGTCTTATTTAGCAAAATTTGAAATTGTGTTTTTTACATTGGATAAAAGTAGAGACTCAGAGCTAGAAACTGGTATATCATACACTACAGTTGAGGAACAATGGGAAAGTAATTCTGCTTGGAAAGTTGATAAACTTGCAACCCCACTTTTGAGAAAATTGTCCTTGAATGTTTTGGTACACCTACTGGATAGCTCTTCTTTGTCTACACCCATTTAGTAGTGTACTAAACAACCAAAGATTTCAAGACTAAAGGCTGGTGTTATGATGAGTTTCTAGGTATCAAGTGATTACGAATGTAAGGATGTACTTAAACACTTTTGATGGGGAGTTCATATTAGTATTTAATATGTACATGGTTAGTTATAACAGAATGACAGAGCTTTGCCTCTCTCATCTCCCTCACTCTATAACAAAGATCCACTCTCTCTTTATATACACTCTGTTACAAGTCACTCCACGAACATCTGGTAATCATCATGGGCACTCCCATTCTTTGATGTTATTACTCTTTACCCCAAGTCAGTATATCCTGTCCATCAATCATGCTATCATAAACATCAGTAATCTCCTTTGACATAATGGAATGTAGACTCCATGGCCCCAAACCACTTATCTAGTAACTCTAATCTGGTCCCCACGATACTATGACATGACATCATAACACTATAAAAACCTAATATCAGCTGGTTTATACTATGTCTATCGACATGTCTGTATACAGCTGTCGCAGTGACATCATGAATATTCTATTGTCGTCCGACATCAAACTTGTCGTTGTCGTTATGAAAAAGTATAAACACAAAAACTACAGGCTGCATGACATCAGCAGCCTGATGGTCCAAAACAGCATATCTGGTGTATTTTAACACCAATTAACCCATCCTTTAAAAAATGAATTTAGTATATGTCAATCTAGCAAAGCAGGCAACTAAAAGCAACTTTCTAAACAATGTTTTGGTTCGTTTCTAGCTTTTTAGCTAGCTAACTGCCACTCAATATGGGTGGGAATAGTAGTGATCTTGATAATTATCGTCCCATTTCCAGGCTTCCATGTCTAGCTGAGATTCTTGAATCTTTGGTAAATAAGCAACTTCGCTCTTTTTATCTAAGCATGGTATTTTGAATATTAATCAACCTGGGTTTAGGCCAGGGCACAGCACTATCACAGCAACCACATTAGTTGTTAAGGATTGGATTACATCTTCACTCATCGGATGGTTCTATAATCAAACGAGTCCCTGCATACAAATACCTTAAAAAACATACAACCGGGCTTGTTAAGAAGCTAAGATTTAAAGTAGGCTTTATCTACAGAAACAGATCTTGCTTTTCTCTAGTCAGCAGGAAGCAGATTGTGCAGTCAACTTTTCTACCTGTTCTTAATTATGGTGACACTATTTATGAAAGTGCAGCTGCTACTACTCTCAAACCCCTGGATGCCGTTTATCATAGTGCCCTTTGTTTTATCACAGGAGACATTTTTATTATTCATCATTGCATTATTTTTCCAAAGGTTGGCTGGACCGCTTTGAAGTCACATAGATCACATCATTACACTCTTTTTGTTTATAAAGCTCTGCTCCACAAACTTCCGACTTTCCTATCATCACTGTTAAGATTTAAAATGGCAAGTTATCAAACCCATTCATAGGGTTGGTTAACTCTGGAGACTGCTTTGGTGTCTAGAGAGTTACGTAAATCAGCTTTTAATATCCTTGCACACTATGTTTGGAATAATCTCCAAAATACAGTACATTTCGACTGGATGCTTCGGTGTCCCTAGGGCAATTCCGACAACTGACAGAGGATTTTTATAATGAAGAATGTGTTTGTTTTAATTGACTGTGTTTTGTATCTTAATGTGTATATTGTGTATATTTACAGTGCATTCGGAAAGTATTCAGACCCCTTCACTTTTTCCACATTTTGTTACGTTACAGACTTATTATAAAATGGATTAAAAAAATAAAAAATCTACACATAATACCCCACAATGACAAAGCAAAACAGGTTTTTAGACATTTTTGCAAATGTATAAAATTTTAAAAAAAGAAATACCTTATTTACATAAGTATACCCTTTGCTATGAGACTCGAAATTGAGCTCAGGTGCATCCTTTTTCCAATGATCATCTTTGAGATGTTTCTACAACTTGATTGGAGTTCACCTGTGGTAATTTCAATTGATTGGACATGATTTGGAAAGGCACACACCTGTCTATATAACGTCCCAGAGTTGACAGTGCATGTCAGAGCAAAAAGCAAGCCATGAGGTCGAAGGAATTGTCCGTAAAGCTCCGAGACAAGATTGTGTCGAGGCACAGATCTGGGGAAGGGTACCAAAACATTTCTGCAGCATTGAAGGTCCCCAAGAACACAGTGGCCTCCATCATTCTTAAATGGAAGAAGTTTGGAACCACCAAGACTCTTTCTAGAGCTGGCCGCCCGGCCAAACTGAGCAATCGGAGAAAAAGGGCCTTGGTCAGGGAGGTGAACAAAAACACGATGGTCACTCTGACAGAGCTCCAGAGTTCCTCTGTGGAGATGGGAGAACCTTCCAGAAGGACAACCATCTCTGCCGCACTCCACCAATCAGGCCTTTATGGTAGAGTGGCCAGACGGAAGCCACTCCTCAGTAAAAGGCACATGACAGCCCGCTTGGAGTTTGCAAGAAAGGCACCTAAAGGACTCTCAGACCGGTGAAGCATGATGGTGGCAGCATCATGCTGTGGGGATGTTTTTCAGCGGCAGGGACTGGGAGACTAGTCAGGATCGAGGGAAAGATGAACGGAGCAAAGTACAGAGAGATCCTTGATGAAAACCTGCTCCAGAGCGCTCAGGACCTCAGACTGGGGCGAAGGTTCACCTTCCAACAGGACAACGACCCTAAGCACACAGCCAAGAAAACATAGGAGTGGCTTCAAGGCAAGTCTCTGAATGTCCTTGAGTGGCACAGCCAGAGGCTGGACTTGAACCCGATCGAACATCTCTGGAGAGACCTGAAAATAGCTGTGCAGCGATGCTCCCCATCCAACCTGACAGAGCTTGAGAGGATATGCAGAGAAGAATGGGAGAAACTCCCCAAATAAAGGTGTGCTAAGCTTGTAGTATCATACCCAAGAAGACTTGAGGCTGTAATCGCTGCCAAAGGTGCTTCAACAAAGTACTGAGTAAAGGGTCTGAATACCTTTGTGTTATGTGATATTTCAGTTTTTTATTTTTTATACATTTTCAGAATAAAAAACAACAACTGTTTTTGCTTTGTCATTATGGGGTATTGTGTGTAGATTGATGAGGATATTTTTTTTTGAATCCATTTTAGAATAAGGCTGTAAAGTAAATTATTTTGGAAAAAAGTGAAGGGATCTGAATACTTTCCGAATGCACTGTATGTTTATCTATACTTGCCTTTTGATGTACTTGTTTTGTATTGTGCAGGCCAGGGCTCATTTGTAAAAGAGACTTTAGTCTCATTATGACTTCCCTTTTGAAATAAAGGTACATTTAAAAAAAATAAGGGTCACAGACCTACAGTAGCCTGTGTCTGGGAAGGTTTGCTATGGGGCGGCAGGTAGCTTAGTGGTTAAGAGCGTTGTGCCGGTAACCGAAAGGTCGCTGGTTCTAATCCCTGAGCTGACTAGGTGAAAAATCTGTCGATGTGCCCTTGAGCAAGGCACTTAACCCTAATTGCTCCTGTAAGTCGCTCTGGATCAGAGCGTCTGCTAAAATGTAAATGTAAAAAAATGAGGCAAAACTGTGGTTGCATGTTTGGACGTGTTGATAATGAATTAGAAAGGAAAGGCTTTATTCCTGGAAGCAGGGCTGTGAGTTGAAGAGAGGATCTGCATCGTGGGGAACACCCTTGACCGGCTTCAGACAGCTGTCACAATATTAGATGGCGAAGATAAAACCCAAGGCCAGGCAGTCCCAAATGGCACCCTATTCCCTATATAGTGCCCTACTGTTGCCCGGGGTCCTCCAGTGCACCGCATAGGGAATAAGGTGCCATTTGGGATGCAAACTTAGTGAACAGGTTCTCACTCATCTGAGTACTGTTATCGAACTACAAATAGTTACCATCAGTATCCCACAAATACATAATGTGGCGCCACTAGAGATCCTGGTTCGACTCCAGGCTCTGTCGCAGCCGGCCGCGACCGGGAGACCCATGGGCGGCGCACAATTGGTCCAGTGTCGTCCAAGGTAGGGGAGGGTTTGGCCGGCAGCGGTGTGGGTTCGTTTCCCACGGGGGGCCAGTATATAAAAAAACAAAACATGTATGCATTCACTAACTGTTAGTTGCTCTGGATAAGAGCGTCTGCTAAATGACGTAAAATGTAAAAATGTAAGATAACATGCATTTGATTGTCATAATATGTTCTGGGGTTTATTGTTAATACACTATGCATTTTCAGTTAGTTTTATCACCCAGGATTTGCCTTAATCTCCCTTGGGTGGCAGCCTTTTGTTGTGAGCTTTAAGCAACGTCTTAACGTCTTAAATAAAGGGTGGGATCACACTCGCACAACTGCATGTAATGACATGTTATTCCTCGAGGTAACTCACTCCAAGCTGAGGTGTATGAAAACATGTCAAGCCTATATATGGGGGCGGCAGGTAGCCTAGCAGTTAAGAGTGTTGGGCCAGTAACTGAAAGGTCGCTGGTTTGAATTCCTACAACGATTAGGTGAAAAATCTGTTTATGTGCCCTTGAGCAAGGCACTTTACCCTAATTGCTCCTGAAGGTCTCTCTGGATAAGAGCGTCTGCTAAATGACCCAAATGTGTAAGTAATTGTGGCCCTGGGTTAGAAACCACTGGCTTAAGGTGGTGCAATGTACGTGAGAATCCTTGTGTTTGTCTTTCATCCCAACAGGACAGTGTGCCTCATCCTTCTGTTTTCTCAGTACCTGAGCAAAGTTGAAGTTCCTTTGATTGCTTACAAGGATAAGAAGTGGAAAGTCTTCCAGTATCCTCTCTTTAAGCTGTTTTCAGTAAGTTATTATACCTGTTTTCTGTGCTGAAAGATGCTTGCTTCATATATACAGTACATCACCATTTTATACACCACACTTTAATTCTGCACACCTGTTACAACGTTTCAGGCACAGACTCTGCATGTACTTTGTGACCCTTCGTAGCCCTTCATAGCCCTTGCATAAACACCTACAGTATACAGTATACAACTTCTGTTTAAAGAAAATGCGTTTCTTGTAATCATTTTTATGAACATTGTTACCATTCATACATTTGTTACCATAAAAACTCCATTGTTCTAAATTAAATGTATACTTAAACCACAAATATCTTACAGTTCTTAGCTTGAATAAGCATGAATAAAGCCCATCCTTTTTGGTAAAAGAAATCCCCCAACAGAAATGACCCAACATGTACTTTCTACACAGTAATTCAGGGGTTTTCCAAGGGCTCATAAGTATACAGTAAGTAAATGCCACCTTCCCTAATCCCTAATGGAGGAGAGGGATAATTCACGCATTTAAGTCATCTTAAAGAGATAGTTCACCCAAATTACAAAGCAGTCTATTGACAAGGTATGACAGCAATCCATGCTTTGGTTTAGTTGCTAAATGCTAATGTTTTAGCATTTTTGGCACAAATCCCATTCAAGATATTAGCATTTTTGCGCATCATGTTCAAATCATCTATAAGTGACTTTGTTGAGCTTCACATTCAATTGTAGATGCTTTTGGATGATTTTGACATGATGCACAAAAGATGCTAATGTCAGTCCCATGACTTGAATGATATCTGTGCCACAAATGCTAAAACGTTAGCATGTGGAAAGAGTTCCAGGGAAACTAAACCAAAGCATGGATTGCTGTCATACCTTGTCCATAGAGTGATTACAGGGTAAGGCAACCAATGTGTCATTTTGTAATTTGGATGAACTATCCCTTTAACTCAACTCTCGAACACCCTGAGGGTGACATCGGAGTGGTTCAATTGCTTTTCTGGGGTGAGTGAATGGGCCCCCAGTAATGAATTATTAATATGAAGTACCTCCCCTCCTGTCAGATGCAAGAACACACCCTTCACCACATGGTTAAAGGCAAACACAGTCCTCAGGATGCTAGAATGGTACTTGCCTGTGGAAACAATCACTTGTTTCACTGTCTTGAGCTGGGGTTTTAATTGCCTGGTGATTCAGTTGTGCTGTTGTGAACATATTAGTAAGATAAACATATTAGTAAGCTACTCTCATGCTGCAGATATCCATGGAACCCTAGTCCAAGTGCACCGCTAAACGTTAATACATTTAGAGTTTTGCAATCCACTTGTTACACAGAGAGACGGTTTCCCTGACACAGAGTAAGCCTAGTGCTGGACTAAGAAACATGTTCAATGGAGATTTTCTACTCAACATGCTTTTAGTCCCAGCCAGGTGACCCGTGATACAAGTCAGTATTCGAACGTCCATCCATGTCTGAGGACGTCGGGAGATGACGTAGAAACCAGCCACTAGGGGCAACAGTGAGCTCTGTTACCGTCAAGTAGGTTTTGGTTTTGCTAGAACACGGCGGATGGGCGTAAACATCTGCCTCCGGTGCCAAAAGTTGCATTTTCGAATCCAGCGATAGAAAGTTGTTTTTTAGATTTTTGTTTTAAGCCCATCCCATCGCAAACGTTAACCCTTACCTTAACCATTCTGATTTAATGCCTAACCTTAAGATTTAGGAGTTAATGGCTAAACTTAACCCTAACCTTAAAAATGTGGAGTTCATGACTAAACTTAACCTTAAACACTTCGAAATATGAAGTTTGGAATAACTTCTAAATTTAACGTTTGAGAAACATGGTGAACGTCTGATTCTGACGTGAGACTGTGAGAGCTTTTTGTTTAGTACCGGGCTAAATTTAATCTGGGTCCAGGAAACGGGCCCACTGTGCGCTACATGAGCAGAACACCTAGGGAGCTAACCATAATAAGAAAGTCACTCCCTGTGCCTTCTCTTTTAACACCACTTCAGGATTAATACATTCCTTTGGGAGTGATGAATAATGGACAGTCTATGCCAAAAGGCATGTTGAAGAAATTTGGTGATAGAAAAAAAAGCAAAACCATAGATGAAAAGGAGTTCACAGCAGGGTTTAGTCATTCTTATTTGCACAACATGACCTACTCCTCGATGCACCTCTACAGAAACTCAAAATATGCCCGCTGGGGAAGTGGCACACAGTTGTCAAAATCATAACAGAAAGCAGAGGTGTAAGAGAGCTAAACGTTTAGGATCAGAATGAGGATGTTCCAACCTGTAGCTACGTGGAAGAGGTACTCTATGTCAAGACAAGCACACACCTTACATCTACATTCTAGCAGCAATAAGTGAATAACCACATTTTAGAGCTGTAAGATGTGTTTACAAAATATCACCTGTCTGCACGTACAGTGAGGGAAAAAAGTATTTGATCCCCTGCTGATTTTGTACGTTTGCCCACTGACAAAGACATGATCAGTCTATTATTTTAATGGTAGGTTTATTTGAACAGTGAGAGACAGAATAACAACAAAAAAATCCAGAAAAACGCATGTCAAAAATGTTATAAATTGATTTACATTTTAATCCAGGCTCTGTCGCAGCCGGCCGCGACCGGGAGACTCATGGGAGGCGCACAATTGGCCCAGCGTCGTCCAGGGTAGGGGAGGGAATGGCCGGCAGGGATGTAGCTCAGTTGATAGAGCATGGCGTTTGCAATGCCAGGGTTGTGGGTTCAATTCCCACGTGGGGGCAGTAAAAAAAAATATGTATTCACTAACTGTAAGTCGCTCTGGATAAGAGCGTCTGCTAAATGACTAAAATTTAAATGTAAATGTTAATGAGGGAAATAAGTATTTGACTTAGTACTTGGTGGCAAAACTCTTGTTGGCAATCACAGAGGTCAGACGTTTCTTGTAGTTGGCCACCAGGTTTGCACACATCTCAGGAGGGATTTTGTTCCATTCCTCTTTGCAGATCTTCTCCAAGTCATTAAGGTTTCGAGGCTGACGTTTGGCAACTCGAACCTTCAGCTCCCTCCACAGATTTTCTATGGGATTAAGGTCTGGAGCCTGGGTAGGCCACTCCAGGACCTTAATGTGCTTCTTCTTGAGCCACTCCTTTGTTGCCTTGGCCGTGTGTTTTGGGTCATTGTCATGCTGGAATACCCATCCACGACCCATTTTCAATGCCCTGGCTGAGGGAATGAGGTTCTCACCCAAGATTTGACGGTACATGGCCCCGTCCATCGTCCCTTTGATGCGGTGAAGTTGTCCTGGCCCCTTAGAAAAACACCCCCAAAGCATGTATCCACCTCCATGTTTGACGGTGGGGATGGTGTTCTTGGGGTCATAGGCAGTATTCCTCCTTCTCCAAACACGGCGAGTTGAGTTGATGCCAAAGAGCTCGATTTTGGTCTCATCTGACCACAACACTTTCACCCAGTTCTCCTCTGAATCATTCAGATGTTCATTGGCAAATTTCAGACGGCCCTGTATATGTGCTTTCTTGAGCAGGGGGACCTTGCGGGCGCTGCAGGATTTCAGTCCTTCACAGTGTAGTGTGTTACCAATTGTTTTCTTGGTGACTATGGTCCCAGCTGCCTTGAGATCATTGACAAGATCCTCCTGTGTAGTTCTGGGCTGATTCCTCACCGTTCTCATGATCATTGCAACTCCACGAGGTGAGATCTTGCATGGAGCCCCAGGCCGAGGGTGATTGACAGTTATTTTGTGTTTCTTCCATTGCGAATAATCGCACCAACTGTTGTCACCTTCTCACCAAGCTGCTTGGCGATGGTCTTGTAGCCCATTCCAGCCTTGTGTAGGTCTACAATCTTGTCCCTGACATCCTTGGAGAGCTCTTTGGTCTTGGCCATGGTGGAGAGTTTGGAATCTGATTGATTGATTGCTTCTGTGGACAGGTGTCTTTTATACAGGTAACAAGCTGAGATTAGGAGCACTCCCTTTAAGAATGTGCTCCTAATCTCAGCTCGTTACCTGTATAAAAGACACCTGGGAGCCAGAAGAGGGGGTCAAATACTTATTTCCCTCATTAAAATGCAACTCAATTTATAACATTTTTGACATGCGTATTTCTGGATTTTTTTGTTGTTATTCTGTCTCTCACTGTTCAAATAAACCTACCATTAAAATTATAGACTGATCATTTCTTTGTCAGTGGGCAAACGTACAAAATCAGCAGGGGATCAAATACTTTTTTCCCTCACCTACCATGCACCTTTCAACTTGACGTCTGATGGAAATAAATACAAACAAAAACATGCCACAAAGTGGCAACATAATACTATATGTATCTAAACGATGTCTAAATTATATCTAAACTAAATGAGATGTCTAAACTAACCGATATTTCTAAACGATATGTCTAAATGATATGTCTTAATGAGATGTCTAAACTAAACGATACGTCTAAATGATATGTCTAAATGAAATGTCTTAATGAGATGTCTAAACTAAACGATACGTCTAAATGATATGTCTAAATGATATGTCTTAATGAGATGTCTAAACTAACCGATATTTCTAAACGATATGTCTAAATGATATGTCTTAATGAGATGTCTAAACTAAACGATACGTCTAAATGATATGTCTAAATGATATGTCTTAATGAGATGTCTAAACTAAACGATACGTCTAAATTATATGTCTAAATGAGATGTCTAAATTAAACAATATGTCTTAATGAGATGTCTAAACTAAACGATATGTCTAAATGAGATGTCTAAACTAAACGATACGTCTAAATTATATGTCTAAATGAGATGTCTAAACTAAACAATATGTCTAAATGAGATGTCTAAATTAAACAATATGTCTAAATGAGATGTCTAAACTAAACAATATGTCTAAATGAGATGTCTAAACTAAACGATATGTCTAAATGAGATGTCTATACTAAACAATATGTCTAAATGAGATGTCTAAACTAAACGATATGTCTAAATGAGATGTCTAAACTAAACAATATGTCTAAATGAGATGTCTATACTAAACGATATGTCTAAATGAGATGTCTAAACTAAACGATATGTCTAAATGAGATGTCTATACTAAACAATATGTCTAAATGAGATGTCTAAACTAAACGATATGTGTAAATGAGATGTCTAAATGAGATGTCTAAACTAAACAATATGTCTAAATGAGATGTCTATACTAAACGATATGTCTAAACTAAACAATGCATTTCTCATTTCTGTTCACCCACAGGCTTTGTTTGGGATGTGTGGTGCTTGGTTGGTCTGCTTCTTGCTAACCATCTTCGAAGCCCTTCCCTCTCAGCCGGACCAGTATGGCTACACAGCCAGGACTGACGTGAACCTGGATGCCGTCACTAGCGCACCATGGTTCCACGTCCCATATCCAGGTGAGATGGAGCAATATAATTTATTATTGTATTTTTTATTTTTTATTTATTCAGGGTAAACCCATTGAGACCAAGGTCTCATTGCCAATGGTCCACAGATCACAGCAATACAAAAACCAATACAATGTCAAACAAAACAGCAGAAAAACAGTTACATTCCTCAGCTACTAGGCCCTCAATCAACACCATAAACTGCCCGAGCGGCACCAGAACATCCAATTGTAATGAGTTCTGCAAATTGTTCCAGCAGTGAGGCGCATTAAAACTAAAAGCGGATTTACCTCATTCGGTGGAGACCCAAGGAACCTCAACAGTTAACCAACCCTGTGAACGGGTTTGGTAACTCATGTTTTTATACTTCAACAATGAAGTTAGGTAAGTTGGAAGCTTGTGTAGTAGAGCTTTGTAAACAAAAAGGGCCGATGTACTCCTGATGAAAGAACAAATATATATATGCACATCCAACTGGTAAAAAACAAAATGTATGAAAAAGTGAATAATGTTTGCGCAACACTATATACTCCAAACATATAAAAATAGCAGTTGTCTAGCAATGATCAACAACCAATTTGACAGAGCTTGAAGAATTTGAAAAAATAATAATGGGCAAGTGTTGCACAATCCAGTTGTGGAAAGCTCTTAGAGACTTATCCAGAAAGACTCACAGCTGTAATCGCTGCCAAAGGTGTTTCTACAAAGTATTGACTCATGGGTGTGAATACTTATGTAAATTATGTATTTTCTATATTTTATTTTCAATAAATTAGCAAAAATGTCTAAAACATGTTTTCAATTTGTCATTATGGGGTATTGGTGTGTAGATGGGTGAGAAAAAATAATATTATGGAATCCATTTTGAATTCAGGCTGTAACACAACATGTGGAATAAGTCAAGGGGTATGAATACTTTCTGAAGGCACTGTATAATGGGGTATCCTGTTTTCTGCTAACAATGCCTGCAGTAACGCTGTTGACCTTGAACTTCCGTGGCTTCAATGAGATTGGGCAGTCCTTCTCCCCTGGCATAATCCCATGACTCCCGATCAGAAGGTTGCGTATTCAATTCCAGTGGTGGACACTCATTTATTTTTACTATCCCAAACCTTCAAGGCCCAATGCAGCCATTTTAATCTCAATATAAAATCCTTTCTGGATAACAATTAAGGACCTTACTGAGACTGTTTAAATTAAAATCAAGTGCAATTTCTGAAGGAAGAATTTTGGTTGGACTGTCTGGGAATAGCCTGAGTGGGTAGGGGAAACTGAAAACTAGCTGCAATTGGCAGAGAGGTTTGGAACTCTTTCTTATTGGTCTATTAACCAATTTACCATCTGGTAATGTATCCAGGCAGGTCAAAACTCCATCCCACCAAAACAGGCAGAAATTTCAGGCGGTCTTTTCAAACAGCTCTTACACTAAAAGGACATTATCATAATTTTCACCATTTCACAGTATTATTCAACCTCATAGTGTGGAAATATATATAAAACACAGGACAATCATGTTTTTGACTGCACTGGGCCTTTAAACCTTACCTTAACCATTCAGGATGAATCCCTTAAGTTTTAAATATGATGATTGGAGCAACTTTAAAATGTTACATTTGGAGAAACGATGCTGAGCAGGAGGAGCAACCCAGGGTGTCAAAAACACTTTGAAATTTGACTTTTGGAGAATAAATCAAAAACGTCTAATTCTGCAGTGACACTGTGAGAGCTTGTTGCATAAAGCAGGATAGGTAATTAAGACTTGTCTGTCAGTACACCTACTGGAGGCAGCCTCTTTCATCTAGGCTGTGTCCCAAATGGTACCCTTTCACTTACATCCTGCACTAAATTTGACAAGGGCCCTTAGGGCTCTGGTCAAAAGTAGTGCACTATGTAGGGAATAAGGTGCTATTTAGGACGCAGCTCTAGAACCTGCCAAACCTAGCTCATTAAACTGCCATTCCTTCAACTGCAAGTGATGAAAGACTTCCAACTAATTATTTGTTTTCATCATTGGCCAGTTGTTTACACAGTTTATTTTCATTTACTGTAATTTACATTTTAGTCATTTAGCAGACGCTCTTTTCCAGAGCGACTTACAGGAGCAATTAGGGTTAAGTGCCTTGCTCAAGGGCACATCGACAGATTTTTCACCTAGTTGGCTCGGGGATTAGAACCAGCGACCTTTCGGTTACTGGCACAACGCTCTTAACCACTAAGCTACCTGCCGCACCAATTAGTAATTAGCATGCATTACATTTTGATGTGCCCCAACCTCAAAGAATTTGTGAGCAAACCACACAACCTCCTTTAAAGAGCAAGGAATTCATAGTTTATCGCTCCAAGTTCACCTCTTCTGTACTGTAGCATTAGTACCTGTCAAAGAATACATTACAATGTTGAAAGTCTAAAGAAAACTGTAGACAACTGTAGTCTTTCTGTCAGTCTCACCGAATAATTCTAATTAAAAGGAATGTACAGTATGTGCATGAAAACATATATATTTTGTGAATGTGCGTGCGTGTGTGCACATGAATGTGTGTGTGCTAATCTGTCCACTCTCTGTCCCTTTAGGCCAATGGGGCATGCCCACAGTGAGTGTGTCCTCGGTGTTGGGCATGATAGCTGGCGTCCTTGCCTCCACCATGGAGTCCATTGGGGACTACTACGCCTGTGCCCGCCTGTCCGGTGCCCCTCCTCCGCCCACCCACGCAATCAACAGGGGTATCGCTGTGGAGGGCATTGGCTGCATCCTGGCAGCGCTGTGGGGCAGCGGGAACGGCACCACATCCTATAGCCAGAACATCGCAGCACTGGGCATCACTAAAGTATGTCCTCCATATACTATTTTGGGCCACGTTCAGTATAGGAATGTGATGGTGATGTTATTGTAAAGCCTCCTATGGCAATGACAAAAGGCTGATCAAACATGCAGGACTATCTAAGCTTTTCTTGGCTTGCTTGTTGAATCTTGGTCTGAAATTCCTGACAGTTCTTAGTTGCGTTCCCATGATGTCTCAGGGCCCAAATAAGGCTGCCAGCCTGTCATCCTGCCACTGTTAGCATGACGGATAGCCCCCATACGTTAATGATTAATGACTTGTAATGCTGTGCGCTTTTCGTTGTGCCCACCATGCCAGGTTGGCAGCAGACTGGTCCTTCAGACTGCTGGTCTCCTGATGATCATCCTGGGACTCTTTGGGAAGTTCGGGGCCGTTTTCATCACCATTCCAGACCCGGTCATCGGAGGCATGTTCCTCGTCATGTTCGGAATGATTGCAGCTGTGGGAATCTCCAACCTTCAGGTTAAAAAAATCATAGAAAAAATGGGTTCACTGAAGTTCTGTTTAGATCAATCATTTCAAACACCTACTGTACATATGTGTGTATTGATAAAGTATCATCAAGGATAACATGCATCTGCATAGATATACAGTACCAATCAAAAGTTTGGACACACCTACTCATTCAAGGGTTTGTCTTTATTTTTACTATTTTCTTAAATTGTAGAATAATAGTGACGACATCTAAACTATGAAATAACACATATGGAATCATGTAGTAACCAAAAAAGTGTTAAACAAATCAAAATATATTTTATATTTGAGAATTTTCAAATAGCCACCCTTTGCCTTGATGACAGCTTTGCACACTCTTGGCATTCTCTCAACCAGCTTCACCTGGAATGCTTTTCCAACAGTCTTGAAGGAGTTCCCACATATGCTGAGCACTTGTTGGCTGCTTTTCCTTCACTCTGCTGTCCGACTCAACCCAAACCATCTCAACTGGGTTGAGCTCGGGGGAATGTGGAGGCCAGGTCATCTGATGCAGCACTCCATCACTCTCCTTCTTGGTAAAATATCCCTTTAACAGCCTGGAGGTGTCATTGTCCTGTTGAAAAAAAAATTATAGTCCCACTAAGCCCAAACCAGATGGGATGGCGTATCGTTGCAGAATGCTGTGGTAGTCATGCTGGTTAAGTGTACCTTGAATTCATGCTTTACGGTGGGAACTACACATGCGGAGATCATCCGTTCACCCACACCGCGTCTCACAAAGACACAGCGGTTGGAACCAAAACCTCCAATTTGGACTCCAGACCAAAGGACAAATTCCCACAAGTCTAATGTCCATTGCTCGTGTTTCTTGGCCCACACAGGTCTCTTATTCTTATTGGTGTCCTTTAGTAGTGGTTTCTTTGCAGCAATTCGACCTTGAAGGCCAGATTCACACAGTCCCCTCTGAACAGTTGATGTTGAGATGTATCTGTGACTTGAACTCTGTGAAGCATTTATTTGGGCTGCAATTTCTGAGGCTGGTAACTCTAATGAACTTATCCTCTGCAGCAGAGGTAACTCTGGGTCTTCCATTCCTGTGGCGGTCCTCATGAAAGCCAGTTTCATCATAGCGCTTGATGGTTTTTGCGACTGCACTTGAAGAAACGTTCAAAGTTCTTGAAATTTTCCGTATTGACTGACCTTCATGTCTTTAAGTAATGATGGACTGTCTTTTCTCTTTGCTTATTTTAGCTGTTCTTGCCATGATATGGACTTGGTATTTTACCAAATAGGGCTATCTTCTGTATCCCCCCTATCTTGTCACAACACAACTGATTGGCTCAAACGCATTAAGGAGGAAAGAAATTCCACAAATTAACTTTTAAGAAGGCACACCTGTTAATTGAAATGCATTCCAGGTGACTACCTCATGAAGCTGGTTGAGAGAATTCTAAGTGTGTGCAAAGCTGTCATCAAGGAAAAGGGTGGCTATTTGAAGAATCTCAAATATAAAATATATTTTGATTTGTTGAACGCTTTTTTGGTTACTACGTGATTACATATGTGTTATTTCATAGTTTTGATGTCTTCACTATTATTCTATAATGTAAATAATAGTGGAGAAAAAAAACAACAACCTTGAATGAGTAGGTGTGTCCAAACCTTTGACTGGTAGTGTACAGTTGAAGTCGGAAGTTTACATACACCTTAGCCAAATACATTTAAACTCAGTTTTTCACTATTCCTGACATTTAATCCTAGTAAAAATTCCCTGTTTTAGGTCCGTTAGGATCACCACTTTATTTTAAGAATGTGAAATGTCAGAATAATAGTAGAGAGAATTATTTCTTTCATCACATTCCCAACGGGTCAGAAGTTTACATACACTCAATTAGAATTAGGTAGCATTGCCTTTAAATTGTTTAACTTGGGTCAAACGTTTCGGGTAGCCTTCCACAAGCTTCCCCCAATAAGTTGGGTTAATTTTGGCCCATTCCTCCTGACAGAGCATGTTTAACTGAGTCAGGTTTGTAGGCCTCCCTGCTCGCACACGCTTTTTCAGTTCTGCCCACACATTTTCTATAGGTTTGAGGTCAGGGCTTTGTGATGGCCACTCAAACACCTTGACATTGTTGTCCTTAAGCCATTTTGCCACAACTTTGGAAGTATGCTTGGGGTCATTGTCCATTTGGAAGACCCATTTGCGACCAAGCTTTAACTTCCTGACTGATGTCTTGAGATGTTGCTTCAATACATCCACATAATTTTCCTTCCTCATGATGCCATCTATTTTGTGAAGTGCACCTGTCCCTCCTGCAGCAACAGCACCCCCCACAGCTGATGCTGCCACCCCCCGTGCTTACACGGTTGGGATGGTGTTCTTCGGCTTGCAAGCAATCCCCTTTTCCTCCAAACATACGATGGCCATTATGGCCAAACAGTTCTATTTTTGTTTAATCAGACCAGAGGACATTTCTCCAAAAAGTACGCTCTTTGTCCCCATGTGCAGTTGCAAACCGTAGTCTGGCTTTTTATAGCGGTTTTGGAGCAGTTGCTTCTTCCTTGCTGAGCGGCCTTTCAGGTTATGTCGATATAGGACTCGTTTTACTGTGGATATAGATACTTTTGTACCTGTTTCTTCCAGCATCTTCACAAGGTCCTTTGCTGTTGTTCTGGGATTGATTTGCACTTTTCGCACCAAAGTACGTTCATCTCTAGGAGACAGAACGCGTCTCCTTCCTGAGCGGTATTACGGCTGCGTGATCCCATGGTGTTTATACTTGCGTACTATTGTTTGTACAGATCAACGTGGTACCTTCAGGCATTTGGAAATTGCTGCCAAGGATGAACCAGACTTGTGGAGGTCTACAATTCTTTTTCTGAGGTTTAGGCTGATTTCTTTTGATTTTCCCATGATGTCAAGGAAAGAGGCATTGCGTTTGAAGGTAGGCCTTGAAATACATCCACAGGTACACCTCCAATTGACTCAAATGATGTCAATTAGCCTATCAGAAGCTTCTAAAGCCATGACATCATTTTCTGGAATTTTCCAAGCTGTTTAAAGGCACAGTCAACTTAGTGTATGTAAACTTCTGACCCACTGGAAAGTGCAATAATCTGTCTGTAAACTATTGTTGGAAAAATGACTTGTGTCATGCACAAAGTAGATGTCCTAACCGACTTGCCAAAACTATAGTTTGTTAACAAGAAATTTGTGGAGTGGTCGAAAAACGAGTTTTAATGACTCCAACCTAAGTGTATGTAAACTTCCGACTTCAACTGTATGTTAATGCTTAAAATATCATTAAGGATCATAAATCTCTACAATACTTCTTTCCGTTCTGTCCTTTATCAGGCAATTGCGTACCACAGTCTCGTGGGGACCCCCACAACGTCTGAACAAAATGTGCAGTTTTAGCTACTCTCATGCTATTCCACACATTTTGCATTGAGTCTGAGAGAATTTTGCAGTTTTACGTCTAATTTCCTGTCATTCTAAAAATGTATTTGCCATAACTCATGATGTGTTCATATGCTGTCTGGGGAGGGGTGTGACTTCCTTCTTTTCATTTATGAGTTCTTTGCCTTTTTCCATGGTGATGAATGCGTGTTACCTAATTTTTATTCCCCAGTGAAACAGGAAGCCATGGAAGGCCACAATAGAGTTCCTTAAGCTTATTTTTAAGCTACATAAACAAATTGAATGTTAATGTAGATTTTATTTTGTTTGATTTAATTTATAATAATCTTTAGGGGTGGCAATAATTTTGACACAAGTATTTTTTTTATTTTTTACTTCTTCAACCAAATCTCTTTTTTCTGAGCAATTGTATTAGTATAAAATAATATAATTCCCCCATTTTTTGGAGCATGCAAAATATAGCTCAGTATTTTTATTATTTATTTTATACAGTTTTTTTGCTCATCTTTATCAAGGGAGCCAATAACTTTGGATCTGACTGTATTATCAAACATGACAGAAGTGTCATGAAGAGGTTATAATAGATTGAATTTATATAGCGCTTTTCTACCAACTCAGGTACTCAAAGCACTTTGCATAATAAGGAGGAAACTCACCTCATCCACCACCAATATGCAGCACCTACCTCGGTAATGCACGGCAACCATTTTTTTGCCAGAAGACTCACCACACATCAGCAGGAGAGGTGAGAAGTGACACATGCCAATTAGGAATGAGGGGGAGGATTAGGTGGCCATGATGGAATGGGGCTCGGTAAGGAATTTTGCCAGGACTCTTACGTTAAGTGCCATGGGATCTTTAGTGACCACAGAGAGTCAGGACACCCGTGTAACATCACATCCGAAAGATGGCACCCTACGCAGGGCAATGTCCAATACCACTTCCAGAAGCATCTGGTGTCCCATCCAGTGACCAACCAGGACCAACCCTGCTTAGCTTCAGAGGCAAGCCAGCAGTGGTATGCAGGGTAGTATGCTGCTGGCAAGGAAGGTTAGGGCGAGCAGCCTCTCACACTGAAATATTTTCTAACCATTACTCTAATCAGCTCATCCATGAAGCACTGATAAAACATTAGCACCTGTACAGGGGTCTGGGGCTGCTGTGCACTTGCTGTCAAGCTGCATGGCTGCCATAAGGCAAACTGGAGCAGTGGTTCCTCAAAACTCTCTGGACTGTCTGTGACCCAAAGCTTATGGACTTATATTGAGTCTTTCCAAGAAAACATAAATACTATTTATATGATCCAGGATCCAGTTGTAAGCCATTATGACCTGATGAGTTTGAACCTGGGTCTCCTGTGGACCACAAATCAAATCAAATCAGATTGATTGTATTGGTCGCATACACATATTCAGCAGATGTTATTGCGGGTGTAGCGAAATGCTTGTGTTCTTAACTCCAACAGTGCAGTAATATCTAACAATATCTAACAATACACACCAATACACATGAATCTAAAAAGCAAAATAATGGAATTAAGAAATATATAAATATTAGGATGAGCAATGTCAGAGTCCGGAGTATAAATACACTATATTTACAAAATATGTGGACACCCTTTCAAATTAGTGGATTTGGCTATTTCAGCCACACCCGTTGCTGACAGGTGTAGAAAATGGAGCACATAGCCATGCAATCTCCAAAGACAAACATTGGCAGTAGAATGGCCTTACTGAAGATCTCAGTGACTTTCAACGTGACACTGTCATAAGATGACACCTTTCCAACAAGTCAGTTCGTCAAATTTATGCCCTGCTAGAGCTGCCCCGGTCAACTGTAAGTGCTGTTATTGTGAAGTGGAAAGTCTAGGAGCAACAATGGCTCAGTCGCAAAGTGGTAGGCCACACAAGCTCACAGAATGAGACCGCCGAGTACTGAGTAAAAATCTTTGGATGCAACTCAGCATTCTTTGTCCTCCAAACACGACGAGTTGAGTTTTTACCAAAAAGTTCTATATTGGTTTCATCTGAACATATGACATTCTCCCAATCCTCTTCTGGATCATCCAAATGCACTCTAGCAAACTTCAGACGGGCCTGGACATGTACTGGCTTAAGCAGGGGGACACGTCTGGCACTGCAGGATTTGAGTCCCTGGCGGCGTAGTGTGTTACTGATGGTAGGCTTTGTTACTTTGGTCCCAGCTCTCTGCAGGTCATTCACTAGGTCCCCCCGTGTGGTTCTGGGATTTTTGCTCACCGTTCTTGTGATCATTTTGACCCCACGGGGTGAGATCTTGCGTGGAGCCCCAGATCGAGGGAGATTATCAGTGGTCTTGTATGTCTTCCATTTCCTAATAATTGCTCCCACAGTTGATTTCTTCAAACCAAGCTGCTTACCTATTGCAGATTCAGTCTTCCCAGCCTGGTGCAGGTCTACAATTTTGTTTCTGGTGTCCTTTGACAGCTCTTTGGTCTTGGCCATAGTGGAGTTTGGAGTGTGACTGTTTGAGGTTGTGGACAGGTGTCTTTTATACTGATAACAAGTTCAAACAGGTGCCATTAATACAGGTAACGAGTGGAGGACAGAGGAGCCTCTTAAAGAAGAAGTTACAGGTCTGTGAGAGCCAAAAATCTTGCTTGTTTGTAGGTGACCAAATAATTATTTTCCACCATAATTTGCAAATAAATTCATTAAAAATCCTACAATGTGATTTTCTGGATTTTCTTTCCTCAATTTGTCTGTCATAGTTGACGTGTACCTATGATGAAAAAGGCCTCTCTCATCTTTTTAAGTGGGAGAACTTGCACAATTGGTGGCTAACTAAATACTTTTTTTCCCCACTCTATGAAGTGGGTAAAACAGTACGTAAGCATTATTAAAGTGACCAGTGTTCCATGACTATGTACATAATGCAGTAGTCTCAAAGGTGCATGGTAGAGTAACCGGATGGTAGCCGGCTAGTGACAGTGACTAAAGTTCAGGGCAGGGTACTGGGCGGAGGCCGGCTAGTGGTGACTATTTAACAGTTTGATGGCCTGGAGATAGAAGCTGTTTTTCAGTCTCTTCGTCCCAGCTTTGATGCACCTGTTCTGACCTCGCCTTCTAGATGGTAGCGGGATGAACAGGCTGTGGCTCGGGTGGCTGAGGTCCTTGATGATCTTCTTGGCCTTCCTGTAACACCGGGTGCTGTAGATGTCCTGGAAGGCAGGCAGTTTGCCCCCGGTGATGCGTTGGGCAGACCGCACCACCCTCTGGAGAGCCCTGCGGTTGTGGATGGTGCAGTTGCCGTACCAGGCGGTGATACAGCCCAACAGGATGCTCTCAGTGGTGCATCTGTAAAAGTTTGTGAGGGTCTTAGGGGCCAAGACAAAATCCTGTTGCACCTTCTTCACTACACTTTCTGTATGGGTGGACCATTTCAGAGGAACTTGAAGCTTTTCACCTTCTTCACTGTGGCCCTGTCGATGTGGATGCTCCCTCTTCTGTCTCCTGAAGTCCACGATCAACTCCTTTGTTTTGTTGACGTTGAGGGAGAGGGAGAGGTTATTTTCATGGCACCACTCTGCCAGGGCCCTCACCTCCTCTCTGTAGGCTGTCTCGTCGTCATTGGTAATCTGGCCTACCACTGTTGTGTCTTCTGCAAACTTGATGATTGAGTTGAGTCAAGGGTGAACAGGGAGTTTAGGAGGGGGCTGAGCACGCACCCTTGTGGGGCCCCTGTGTTGAGGATCAGCGTAGTGGAGGTGTTGTTACCTACCTTAACCACCTGGGGGCGGCCCGTCAGGAAGTCCAGGAACCAGTTGCACAGGGCGGGGTTCAGACCCAGGGCCTCAAGCTTAATGATGAACTTGGAGGGTACTATGGTGTTGAAGGCTGAGCTGTAGTCACTGTACAACATTCTTACATAGGTATTCCTCTTGTCCAGATGGGATAGGGCAGTGTGCAGTGTGATCGCAATTGCGTCATCCGTGGATCTATTTGGGCGGTATGCAAATTGCAGTGGGTCTAGGTTGTCAGGTAAAATGGAGGTGATATGATCCTTAACTAGCCTTCAAGAGTGAGCTAACACAATATTCTGGTCTTAGGCACAAGCATGGCTCAGCAAACCCCTCGGTTACACCTTGACCCAAAAAGAATAAGCCCTGACCCGCCACTGCTTCAGTAGAGTGGTGAAATGATCAGGAAGCCAGGATAAGACTGATGTAGAATCAGACAGAACTCTTGGTCAGGTCGTTATTGCTTAAGAGAATATGTTTTTTCTAAATAACTTAACTTAAAGTTGAAATAGATACAACTCTAATGGATTCCTCTGCTCCCAACAGTACGTGGACCTGAACTCCTCCAGGAACTTACTCATCTTGGGCTTCTCAACCTTCAGTGGCCTGGTGCTGCCTACCTGGTTCCACTCAAACCCAGGCATCATTGACACAGGTGAGTCTGTCACATGTAGTATATGGGATAAATATATGGGATAAGCTGACTGTACGCTGGTTTCATCAGGCTTACCTCCCAATCCTCTTGGCCAATCTCAGTGTCACTGCGTGACAATAATCTGTCAGAAGACTCAGTTTAGGCGCCACTTGGACAGTCGGCTACCACGGCCAGCGTCCTTACCAGTGCTTCTCATTGACTTCACCTGTCCTCACTTCCCTCCCCCCTCACCTCCCTGTTAGGATGCTTGCAGCACAGCTGCTGCATTGGTTAAACATGGTGGTTATCATTCAGGATCCTGTTAAATGCACAAAGTACAACCCCTGGGAATTACAGGAGCTAAATCGTGGATCTGAACTATTGACCGATGCCTCACCACCTGCCTGGATTATTGTTTCCTTTTGATGTGTTTTCCCATGGCCAAACACAGCTAGTGTTATGTACCTACCTTATGTCTAATTTGATTCAACACAACTTTATTAATACCCTTGGGGGCTTATTTAAAAGGCAAGGTGACAGAGCATGAGCACAAAAATACAGTGCCTTCAGAAAGTATTCACACCCCTTGACTTATTCCACATTATATTGTGTTACAGCCTGAATTCAAAATGGATGAAATATATTTTCTTCCACTCATCTACACTCAATAACCCATAATGTCAAAGAAAAAACATTGGTATTCATTTCTTTTTGCACATTTATTGAAAATGAAATACAGAAATATTGCATTTACGTACGTATTCACACCCATGAGTCAATACATGTTAGAATCACCTTTGGCAACAATTACAGCTGTGAGTCTTTCTGGATAAGTCTCTAAGAGCTTTGCACACCTGGATTGTACAATATTTGCACATTATTCTTAAAATAATTATTCAAGCTCTGTCAAGTTGGTTGTTGATCATTGCTATGCAGCCATTTTCAAGTCTTGCCTTAGATTTTCAAGCCGATTTAAGTCAAAACTGTAACTAGGCCACTCAGGAACATTCAATGTCTTCTTGGTAAGCAACTCCAGTGTATATTTGGCCTTGTGTTTTAGGTTATTGTCCTGCTAAAGGTGAATTTGCCTCCCAGTGTCTGTTGCAGACTGAATCAGGTTTTCCTCTAGGATTTTGCCTGTGCTTAGGTCTATTACGTTTCTTTTTATCCTAAAAAACTCCCTAGTCCTTGCCGATGACAAGCATACCTGAGTGGCGCAGCGGTCTAAGGCACTGCATCTCAGTGCTTGAGGCATCACTACAGACACCCTAGTTCGATTCCAGGCTGTATCACAACTGGCCGTGATTGGGAGTCCCATAGGGCGGCGCACAATTGGCCCAGCGTCGTCCGGGTTTGGCCGGTGTAGGCTGTCATTGTAAATAAGAATTTGTTCTTAACTAACTTGCCTAGTTAAATAAAAATAAATACCCATAACATGATGCAGCCACCACCATGCTTGAAAATATGAAGAGTGGTACTCAGTGTTGTGTTGGGTTTGCCCCAAACATAATTATTTGTATTCAGGACATAAAGTTAATTTCTTTGCCACATGTTTTGCAGTTTTACTTTAGTGCATTATTGCAAACAGGATGCATGTTTTGGAATATTTTATTCTGTACAGGCTTCCTCTTTTTACTCTGTCATTTAGGTTAGTATTGTGGAGTAACTACAATGTTGTTGATCCATCCTCAGCCATAAACTCTGTAACAGTTTTAAAGTCACCATTGGCCTCACTGTGAAATCCCTGAGCGGTTTCCTTCCTCTCCGGAAGGGCGCCTGTATCTTTGTAGTGACTGGGTGTATTGATACACCATCCAACATGTAATTAACTTCACCATGCTCAAATGGATATTCAATGTTTTTTCTATTTTTACCCATCTACCAATAGGTGCCCATCTTTGCGAGGCATTTGAAAACCTCCCTGGTCTTTGTGGTTGAATCTGTATTTGAAATTCTCTGCTCAACTGAGGGACCTTACAGATAGTTGTATGTGTGGGGTACAGAGATTAGGTAGTCGTTCAAAAATCATGTTAAACACTATTATTGCACACAGAGTCAGTCCGTGGAACTTAAGTGACTTGTTAAGCAAATCTTTACTCCTGTACTTATTTAGGCTTGCCATAAGAAAGACATTGAATACTTATTGATTCAAGACATTTCAGCTTTTCATTTGTAATTATTTTGTAAACATAATTACACTTTTACATTATTGGATATTGTGTGTAGACCAGTGACACAAAATCTCCATTTAATCTATTTTAAATTCAGGCTGTAACAGAACAAAATGTGAAAAAAGTGAAGGGGTGTGAATACTTTCTGAAGGCACTGTACATGTCGTCCACATTAGACATTCTGCTAGATTGATTTCCAGGTAAGGCACAAAGGCCCCTGAAGCAATATCCTGGCTCTCTTGTACCAAAATCATCTATCGAAACCAGTAAGGGGGAGACACATGCAATGATAGGTGAAACATAGCTTGTTTGTACTGTATTTATACTGTAGATAACCATCTCTTTGTATTCACAGGGGTAAAAGAACTGGATCAAGTTATAGTTGTTCTCTTCACTACGCACATGTTCATCGGTGGGTTCTTTGGATTTGTATTGGACAACACGATTCCAGGTGAGCCATAACAACAACAGTATACATCCATATGATTACATTTCACATGTGCAAGCTTAAACGCTCATCTAAGACACTGATTTCACAGTCAGGTATGGCCACAATTGGATTCACATGGATTCATGATGAATTTTCAATCATTTTCATTTTTACAGGTACCGAAAAAGAGAGGGGCATTAAAAGTTGGCGTAAGAAAGTGACAGAGGATGGCAGCACAATGATGACAGACCGGTCCTGCTACGATATACCTTTTTGTACTAACTGTCTACAGAGGTTCAAGTTCTTCCAGTACCTGCCTTTCCTTCCGTCTTACAAGGCTCCAGAACTTAGAACATAAGAATGGTTCCAGTCTTAACTGGACCCCAGGAAGACTAGCAGTGGCTAAGGTGCCAACTAATGGAGATCTGAAGAATAAAGAATAAAGAACTTGTGATTAGCACACTGTTAGCACCACTAGCATTCTCCACCACACTTTTAGACTGAGTCTGCCAGCAGCTGTGGCTTTACTGCCAATGGCATCATAACACAGGGAGGTGGGTACAGACTTGGAACTGTCCCAGCTGGTGGAGTTCTTCTCTCTTGCTTGTCAACATCGAATGCAATTACATTCCATTGCACTGGAAGCAATGGCGAATTCGCAAATGCATATGAATTACGTATTTAGGTCGAGACTTTGGTCCTTTGTATACTAAGTCAATTTCATTTTGTTATGTTGGTTGTCATGTACCTCAAAGATGAATGTGCCTTATCAACAAAATATTTGTGAAAAGAAGGCGTCTGCCAACTAACTGAAGCTTGTTGAACCTGATACACTAAAAAACTAAACTCTGTCCCAATATCCAAACTCGTTCATTACATAGTATGAAGTGATGTATTGGACAAGTATACTTAGTAATATGCTAGTGTGGATATTATATGTACTAGCCAGCTTGACATTGCACATTTTTGCTGCAATATATCAACTTCGCTATTCTTCTAAACCAGGGCTTCTTAACCCTGTACCTGGGGACCCAAAGGGGTCCACATTTTTGTTTTTACCTTCACACTACACACCTGATTCAAATCATCAAAGCTTGATGATGATGATGATGATGGATACTCCATCTGTGCTTGATGATGATCAACGTTTGATGATGATCATGGATACTCCATCTGTCCTCAAACCATGTAAAGGGCTCTGACTGTTTTTGCCGACACTACACAGATGATTCAAATATTCAACTTAATTTAATTTAATTTAACCTTGATATTAACAGGGATTCCCATTGGGACCAATGTCTATTTCACAAGAGAGCCCTGCATACACATCATTTACAAAATACAATATAGCTAAAACAAATATATATTTTTACAAATACATTCAAGAAAATCAATCACATTCATCAGCAAAGAGGTCCCCAATCAACATTTTAAACTCTCCGAGAGGCACCAGAACATTCAGTTGTAGGGAACTCTGTAGAAAGTAAAAGCAGTTGTACCTAACTCTCAGGAGACTGGAGGCATTTCTAGAGTTAGCCTTCCTGAGACCGAGTATGGTAACTTGTACGTCTAAAGGTTATTATCAAAGTTAGGTATGGCAGAGTTTTTGTAAGAGAGCTTTTAAATAAAAAGAGAGTGATGAATCGACCTGCGTGACTTCAAAGAGGGCCAGCCTACTTTATGGTAAAGAATGCAGTGATGTGTACTGAATCTGTCGCCCGTAATAAAACGAAGTGTGCTATGGTAAACTGCATCTAATGGCTTTAATGAAGTGGCAGCTGCATTCATATAGATGATGTCACCATAGTCTAGAACCGGCAGGAACGTCGATTGAATGACCTGCTTTCTACTATTAAGCGAGAGGCAGGACTTATTTCTATAGCAGAATACTATTTTTATTCTTAACTTCTTCACTAACTCATCAATATGCTTTCTAGAAGACAGCCCGTTGTCTATCCAGATGCCCAGATATGTGTAAGCAGGGACACGATCTCAGTGGGCACCATCCGAGGTGCACATTTCTAAATAATTTGTGTAATTTTTTATGCGCTCTGGAAAACAACATATACTTAGTTTATGCTTCATTCAATACTAATTTAAGGTCAATAAAGGTTTTCTCTAAAATCACATAAAGCATTGTCCGGCTCAGCGTTACATCCAGCATCAGGCATCCTGCTCAGCGTTACATCCAGCATCCAGCTCAGAGTTACATCCAACATCCAGCTCAGTTACATCCAGCATCCAGCTCAGCGTTACATCCAGCATCCAGCTCAGCGTTACATCCAGCATCCAGCTCAGCGTTACATCCAGCATCCAGCTCAACGTTACATCCAGCATCTGGCTCAGAGTTATATCCAGCATCCAGCTCAGAGTTACATCCAGCATCCGGTTCAGAGGTACAGCCAGCATCCAGCATCCAACTGAGAGTTACATCCAGCATGCAGCATCCGATGGCTCAGAGTTACCGGATGCTGGATGTAACTGGGCTGGATGTAACATACTTCAAAATAAGAGTCCTCCGATATGTCATGCCAAAATAAATGTCCTGCAATTTCCGATTTCAAAATAAGAATCCCTCGCTTTGCCATGCCAAAATATAAGTCCTCCGATTTCCAATTTCAAAATAAAAGACCCTCTATTATGGCATGCCAAAATAAAGTCCTGCGATTTCCGGTTTCAAAATAAGAGTCCCTCGCTTTGTCATGCCAAAATAAAACTTCAGATTTCAATGTAGTTTTTTTATTTTTTGCTTGTTATTTTGACCATTGCAACTGTCAACACAGAAATACCACAATGTTGCACACACAAACGTTTATGTAAATGTTTAATGTGATACACAGAATGAAACAGCATCGGAATGGTGATGTTTTTGGGGGAGTATTAGCAATGTATTCAGCTACAAGTGTTTGTGGCAGACAAGCCCAACCTAGAGACAGCAATCAGGATTTATTCAATCATAAAATATGTAGTCAACATGTAATTAATCATTAGTTCATTATAAAATAGGTTCAATCAAACAATCACTTTATTATGGATCAATTTCAGTGGCAACAGAATTTGTATTTGTATTTGTGTTGCACAAATTGAATCATTGAACTCATAAATTGAACTTGTATTTCATGATTTGAAACTGAATTGAGTGAATATTGCATTCAGTTTTAAAATTCAATTTAACTGAATATACAAATTCAATATTGATATATTCAGTTACAATATGGTATATATTAAACTGAAACTTCTGGCGGTTTCTGAAGCCAATGGGGCATGTGTCTTCCTATGAATTTGATTATTGCATTTGAACAGTTTTGGCTGTAAGCTATTATGACCCCATTCCTGAAAGCGAAGACGCTCTGGAATATATTGTGACGGAGAGTGTTCTGGTGGTTTCCGTTTGATAAACACCAGTCAAACAGACAGACATTTATGTAATTGTGCCATTTGAAGCATTTGGGTCAGGCAGTATCTTTCACAGCAGTGTGTGTCGTTTCCTGTCAGTGCGGAGATGGTTGTAGACACAATATGGACCATAGCTGCAGCCACCTCTTCCAATTCAGCTTGAGTTAGTGGTGTGTGGCATCCATCCAGCTCACCCATGCAAATGTATCAAAAAAGCAGTATGAATCAATACATGTAAGACCTTGTACCTTAATATTGGAAAAATACATGTTGAATTGAGTGGGCAACTTCCCCGTCAGTGGTTTATCAGATTAAACTTTTGACATTCAACATTCATGAATTTGAGACATTAATTTGAACAAATAACACATTTAACATAGCAAAGAGCGGACTGGATTATTGGACTGGAATACAGATAACTAGACTAGCTGAGGAAGGTCTATCTGCGGACCACAGAGTGTGGCGTTCAAGATGACGGTCAATCACCCTCGGTCTGGGGCTCCATGCAAGATCTCACCTCGTGGGGCATCAATGATCATGAGGAAGGTGAGGGATCAGCCCAGAACTACATGGCAGGACCTGGTCAATGACCTGAAGAGAGCTGGGACCACAGTCTCAAAGAAAACCATTAGTAACCGACATGCCAAAACTATAGTTTGTTAACAAGACATTTGTGGAGCGGTTGAAAAACAAGTTTTAATGACTCCAACTTAAGTGTATGTAAACTTCCGACTTCAACTGTATGTACAGTGAGGGAAAAAAGTATTTGATCCCCTGCTGATTTTGTACGTTTGCCCACTGACAAAGAAATGATCAGTCTATAATTTTAATGGTAGGTTTATTTGAACAGTGAGAGACAGAATAACAACAAAAACATCCAGAAAAACGCATGTCAAAAATGTTATTAATTGATTTGCATTTTAATGAGGGAAATAAGTATTTGACCCCCTCTCAATCAGAAAGATTTCTGGCTCCCAGGTGTCTTTTATACAGGTAACGAGCTGAGATTAGGAGCACACTCTTAAATGGAGTGCTCCTAATCTCAGCTTGTTACTTGTATAAAAGACACCTGTCCACAGAAGCAATCAATCAATCAGATTCCAAACTCTCCACCATGGCCAAGACCAAAGAGCTCTCCAAGGATATCAGGGACAAGATTGTAGACCTACACAAGGCTGGAATGGGCTACAAGACCATCGCCAAGCAGCTTGGTGAGAAGGTGAGAACAGTTAGTGCGATTATTCGCAAATGGAAGAAACACCAAAGCACTGTCAATCTCCCTCGGCTTGGGGCTACATGCAAAATCTCACCTCGTGGAGTTGCAATGATCATGAGAACGGTGAAGAATCAGCCCAGAACCTCACGGGAGGATCTTGTCAATGATCTCAAGGCAGCTGGGACCATAGTCACCAAGAAAACAATTGGTAACACACTACGCCGTGAAGGACTGAAATCCTGCAGTGCCCGCAAGGTCCCCCTGCTCAAGAAAGCACATATACAAGGCCGTCTGAAGTTTGCCAATGAACATCTGAATGATTCAGAGGAGAACTGGGTGAAAGTGTTGTGGTCAGATGAGACCAAAATCGAGCTCTTTGGCATCAACTCAACTCGCCGTGTTTGGAGGAGGAGGAATGCTGCCTATGACCCCAAGAACACCATCCCCACCGTCAAACATGGAGGTGGAAACATTATGCTTTGGGGGTGTTTTTCTGCTAAGGGGACAGGACAACTTCACCGCATCAAAGGGACGATGGACGGGGCCATGTACCGTCAAATCTTGGGTGAGAACCTCCTTCCCTCAGCCAGGGCATTGAAAATGGGTTGTGGATGGGTATTCCAGCATGACAATGACCCAAAACACACGGCCAAGGCAACAAAGGAGTGGCTCAAGAAGATGCACATTAAGGTCCTGGAGTGGCCTAGCCAGTCTCCAGACCTTAATCCCATAGAAAATCTGTGGAG